GTTACTTCCTGTTGGTGGTTGACGACTACTCGCGTTACACCACGGTGTTCCCCTTGCGCAGCGAGGGTGACGTCACTGAGGTGTTGATCGACTGGATCCGCGCAGCTCGTCTCCAGCTCAGAGAGAGTTTCGGCTCGGACTTTCCTGTTCTGCGTCTGCACTCTGACAGAGGCGGGGAGTTTTCCTCTACCCGTCTAGGAGCCTTCTGTCGTACACAGGGCATCCGCCAGACCTTCACGCTTCCGGCCTCTCCACAGCAAAATGGGATTGCTGAGCGCCGCATTGGCATGGTCATGGACGTCGCTCGTACGTCCATGATCCATGAGGCTGCTCCCCATTTCCTGTGGCCGTTTGCGGTTCAGTACGCAGCGCATCAGCTCAACCTTCAGCCCCGGGTCTCCTTGCCAGAGACCTCCCCCACCTTGCGGTGGACGGGGAAGGTTGGCGATGCGTCTGCGTTTCGGGTCTGGGGATCTCGGGCGTTTGTCCGCGACTTGTCTGCGGACAAGCTGTCCCCCCGTGCTGTTCCCTGTGTCTTCCTTGGCTTCCCCCCTGACGCGCATGGTTGGCAGTTTTACCACCCCACCTCGCGCCGTATTCTGTCCTCCCAGGATGTCACCTTTGACGAGTCGGTGCCTTACTACCGTCTCTTCCCCTACCGCACTGCGCCCCTCCCCCCGCCGCCACTCTTCCTTGCGCCAGGTCCTCCCCCGGTAGACCCTCTCCCCCCTCAGGGTCCTGCCCCGTCAGGTATGTCCCAGGTAGACGCAGTCGAGCCTGTCGAGGTAGCTATTGACTCTGGTGCTGCTAGGGGTGCTGAGCTTGCGGGTGCCGGGTCTGGGGGTGCTGAGCCTGGGGGTACGGAGCCTGGGGGTGCTGAGTCTAGGGGTGCTGAGCCTGGGGGTGCTGAGTCTGGGGGTGCTGAGCCTGGGGGTGCGGAGCCTGGGGGTGCTGAGCCTGGGGGTACGGAGCCTGGGGGTGCGGAGCCTGGGGGTGCTGGGTCTGCTCGTGTGGCCTCTGGCAGTGCTTCGTCGAGGCGGGAGCTACTCTCTCCGCAGGAGCTGCGCGAGTGGTTTGCCCGGCGCTGGAGCCATGCTGCTGGAGCTGGAGGTGCTACTGTTGCTGCTGGTCCTGGAGGTGCTCGTACTGGCGGTACTGGAGCTGCTGGGACTGGGGGTGCTACTGGGGCTGCTGGAGTTGGTCCTGCTGGAGGTACTGCTGGAGCTGCTGGCGGTACTGGAGCTGACGGTCCTGCTGGAGCTGGAGCTGCTAGAGGTGCTGCTAGAGCTGGTGCGTCTGAGGGTGCTGGAGTTGGCGCTGTTGGAGCTGGAGGTGCTGCTGGCGCTGGTGCTGCCGCTGGGGGTACTGGTGCTGTCCCTGGTGGTTCTGGAGGCGCTGCGCGGCCGTAGCCATACTTCGTTCCGCTCCTTGAGCAGGTTCTTGGTCTCCCGCCCTCTACTGGTCCTGCTCCTCCCTTAGAGTGTCCACAGCCTGTCCAGTCGCGGTCACAGTTACAGCCCGCCTCCCCCCTACCTGCTCCTTCTCCCTACACTGGTCCTACTAGAGGTCTTGCTGAGCGTCGTGAGCCTGCGTCTCGTCCTGCGTCGCCTGTTCGTGCTGCTCGCACTAGTAGTCGTGCTCCGCGTCCGCGTCCTCCTGCGGTCCCAGGCACACACCAGATGGCACTGCGTCCTTCCACTGCTCCTCTACGTGTCCCGTTGCCGTCTCCTCCAGAGTCCTCTCTTCCTGTCCTTGGTGACCCGGAGGCTGACTCTCTTCGTGCTGCCAGTCCTTCTGTCACGCGTCTCCTGGCTACTGTTGTCACTGACCCTTCCTTTGAGTCCACTGCTGCGTCTGCCCTAGTTGCTGAGCTTGTCGACTTCGCTGCTCGCTGTCGTCTAGACTACGCTGCTAGTCTTGTTGCTGAGTCTGAGTCTGTCTGTCCTCCGTCCGTCGGGGGTGAGTGTGCTCTTAGCACGGACGTCCTTGAGGACAGGCAGGAGGAGTTCCAGTGTTTTGCTGCTGCTTTGCCTCATCTCGTGTCCACGCTGATTGCCCCTGAGGGAGACCCGGATGCACCAGACATCCCGACTCCTCGATCGTACGCTGAGGCGATCGAGGGTCCCTACTCCTCTCAGTGGCAGTCAGCCATGGACGCAGAGATGGCTTCCTGGAAGTCCACAGGCACCTACGTCGACGAGGTTCCCCCACCTGGGGCGAACATCGTCAGTGGCATGTGGATTTTCAGGGTGAAGCGGCCGCCGGGTTCTCCGCCTGTCTTCAAGGCGCGTTACGTGGCTCGAGGCTTCAGTCAGCGGCAGGGAGTTGACTACTTTCAGACCTTCTCTCCCACCCCGAAGATGACCACTCTTCGGGTGCTGCTGCACATAGCCGCTCAGCGCGACTACGAGCTTCACTCTCTTGACTTCAGCACAGCTTTCCTGCAGGGCAGCCTGCACGAGGAGATCTGGCTGCGCCGCCCTCCTGGCTTTACTGGGTCGTTTCCCCCTGGTACCCAGTGGAGCCCCCGGCGGCCAGTCTACGGTCTCCGCCAGGCGCCCCGTGAGTGGCACGACACACTGAGGACTATACTTGCGGCTCTTGGGTTTGCTCCTTCTACTGCCGACCCGTCGCTGTTTTTGCACAGCGACACCTCTTTGCCGCCGTTCTACATCCTCGTGTACGTCGACGACTTGGTCTTTGCCACTGCTGACACTGCTGGACTCGCCCACGTGAAGTCCGAGCTGTAGAAGAGACACACGTGCACAGACCTGGGTGAACTGCGCAGCTACCTTGGCTTGCAGATCACCTGGGACAGAGCACAGCGCACCATTACCCTGACTCAGTCACACATGGTGCAGCAGGTCCTTCAGCGCTTCGACTTCACGTACTCCTCGCCTCAGGCCACTCCTCTGTCTACTCGCCACTCGCTCTCAGCTCTGCCTTCGGATGAGTCCGTAGAGCCGAGTGGCCCATACCCAGAGCTTGTTGGCTGCCTCATGTACCTGATGACCTGCACACGACCTGACCTTGCATACCCTCTTAGCATCTTGGCACGCTATGTTGCTCCTGGGAGACACCGACCAGAGCACATGGCTGCAGCGAAGAGGGTGTTGCGCTACTTGTGCAGTACGTCGGGCATGGGGCTAGTGCTTGGAGGGCGACGTCCAGTGGTCCTCACAGGTCACGCAGATGCTTCTTGGGCTGACGACCAGGCTACGCAGCGGTCGTCACAGGGTTACACCTTCAGCCTTGGTTCCGGCTCTGTTTCGTGGCGGTCTACCCGTTCGTCTTCTGTTCTCGGCTCCAGCTGTGAGGCTGAGATCTACGCGGGGGCCATGGCTGCACAGGAGCTACGCTGGCTCACCTACCTGCTGACTGACCTAGGAGTGCCGCCTCGTTCTCCTCCAGTTCTGTACGTAGACAACAAGGCCATGCTAGCCTTGTGTCGGGAGCACAGACTGGAGCACAGAACGAAGCACATTGCTCTTCGCTACTTCCTTGCTCGTGAGCTGCAGCAGCGTGGTCAGCTGCGCCTTGCTTACGTGGCCTCTGAGGCCAACACAGCTGATACCTTTACCAAGGCACTTCCGCCTTGTGATCATCAGCGCTTCTGTACAATGCTAGGTCTTGTGCCTACTTGGCCACACTTGCTCACTTCTTGACCTTGCTTGTACTGTGATCTTTCTATACCTGCACTTGCTTGTTTACCTTTATATATGATCTTGCATGTGAACTGGCCTTGTGGCCTTGAACTTGTGCTCGGAATGTGTGGTGACGTTGTGATCCACCCTGAGCCTGCTTTGCTTTGCTTGACTGGTCTTGTGACCTCTTGTTCTCCCCCACTTTGCCTATGGGGGTGTGTCAAACTCATATGCTATAGTCTGTGTAGGCTGTAGTGGGGTAGACAGTATGGGGTACAACACTTTTAGGTTTTCCTACTTGTACCCACCTGCTTGGTAGTTCATTTCATTCCTCAATTCTCACAGAAGGCAGTGCAAGGGAGGGTGGAGAGGTGAGTGCATGGAATGGAAAAGCTGGAATCAGCTCCATGAACCTGAGTGGGAAGTGGTAGGGGGGTGAGAGTGCCAGCGTCTTTCAGTGCGGTTTCAGTGGCCCCACTGTCAAGGACAAAGTCCAGGGTGGGGGAAGAGGGAGGAGGAGGTGGGATGGGATACTGAAACGAAGTCTCATTGATAGCAGAGGGATACATGGAAGCAACGAACGGTGCAACACTGACATTACCAAGGAAACTACCCGAAGTGTCGGGGACACTGGGGGGGGGCAGAGGGGAGGGAACCCCAGGGGGGAGAGGGAGGAAGGGAGACATGAGCGGCCATGGCCGCTGTGCCGAAGGTAAGCGGCTGCTGCTGCTAATGTGGCGGAAGGAACTGTTGCTGCTGCTGCGGCGGTGGCTGGAAGAACTGCGGCGGCGGCGGCAGCTGCGGCTGGAGAAACTGCGGCTGCTGCTGCTGGTGGTGGAAGTACTGGTGCTGCTGAAATTGCTGCAGCTGCGAAGGTGGGGAGGGGGTAACCAGGCGGAGGTGAGCAGGGAGGAAAGAGTGGAGGGTTTGAACATCCACCAAGGAGGGGCGAGGGGTGACAGAGTTCCAGCGAGGAGGGGTGCCAGTGTTGCCTCGATCAAACCAGGCGTCGTCAAGCGCCTTGAAGCACGTGGTGGGGGGGTGGTTGGTTTGACCGCATGGGGTACCAGCATGGGGACCATGGCGGCGAACATACGTGCATGGGGGTAGAGTTCCAGGGCGACCGCCTCGAGTCACAACACCACCAGCACCGGAAGATCCTCCAGCAGGGGTGCTGCCAACACCACCACCACCGCCACCACGGCCACCACGGCCACCACCACCACCACCACCACCATCCCCACCACCGCCCCGGCCTCCACCACCACCGCCACCAGCGCTACGACCTCCACCGCCGCCGCTGCGACCACCCTGGTTGCGCGACTGCGTAGCATTGAGGGAGCTGGAGGAGGAGGACTAAGGGGTGGTAAGGTTGACTATGGGGGTGCGGAGCTTGACCTCCGTGTCAATGATCCACTGGACCACGTTGTCGAGGCCGGCCATGGGGTTGGCCTCAGTGAAGGCGTGGAGGCGGGACTCGTAGTCCGGGGTGAGGTTGTAGAGGAGGCGATGGATTTGCAGTGGCTCGGGGAGGGCGGCTTGGCGTGCCGCAAGGCGATCAGCGACCTCTTGCATGCGCCCCACGTAGTCAACTGCGCCGTCACAGGTGGCGAGGGTGATGGTGAAGTATTCCTAGAAAAGGGCGTCGACAGAGCTGATGTCGCGAATGAGGGAGGCGCGCATCTCGCGGGCTTGGAAACGGCGCATGAGGGTGTCGGGGAGTGCGCCGAGAAGGATGGTGCAGGTGCGGTTGTCAGCAGTGGCCCATGCGATGCTCTTGGGGAGGTAGTCTGCCATAGCCGTGGTATACTCATTAAGTAATGCCAGGCGAGTGGCGCGCTCTGCTGTTGCAAACTCGTGATGATGCACCGCAACTTCATGCTCTGCCTTACGGATTAGGTACTCGCGGCGATTGTGGAGGAAGGTGGCATCGGCGACAGCCTGGAGCTCCTGGGTAGTGGCGATCTCCAAGGTAGGTTTAGGAGGAGGAGGACCAGGGGGAATAGGGGGAGGAGGGGGTTCACCGGGGTGAGTGGGGGCAATGGGCTGGAGAGCGTGCGGGCGGCGGAGGAGGACGTCGAGAATGCAGTAGGGTCCGACGAAGGCGTCTTGGAGGACACGGCGGATGCTTTCGACGAAGGAGTGCCAGTTTACAGCTGAGCGGTCAGCGGCAAGCTGGAGCTTGTCAACGGAGGAGGCATCGATGGGAGGAGGGAGGGGGAGAGGGGCAGGAGGGTCGGTGGCCATGTGGGGGACCGCGGCGGGTGGACCCGCGGCGGTCAAGGGAGAGGGGGCGATGGCGGGTGGACCCGCGGCGGCCAAGGGAGAGGGGCGACAGCGGGTGGACCCGCGGCAGCCAAGGAAGGAGGGGGGGGAGGAGGGGGGGGGGGGGTGGGGAAGTGCTGCTGCTGAGGCTGGCGCACTCCTCCGGCTGCTGCTGCTGCTGCTGCTGCCGATGCTGCCGCTGCTTCTGCTGCTGCCGCTGCTGCCGATGCTGCCGCTGCTTCTGCTGCTGCCGCTGCTGCCGATGCTGCCGCCGCTGCTGCTGCTGCCGCTGCTGCCGCTGCTGCCGCTGCTGCCGGTGCTGCCGCTGCTGCCGCTGCTCCCGATGCTACTGCTGCTGCCGCTGCTGCTGCTAGGACTGCTGAGCTGTCCCGGCTGGTGCTGCGTGGGAGGAGAGGAGAAGGAAAGGGGGAGGGGACGGGGGGGGGGGAGGGGGAGGAAGAACGCAGTTGCGGCTGTGGGCGGGGCTGTTGCTGCCAAGGCCGCTGCTGCCGTTTGGTGGAGCGGCTTCTGCGGCGGGGGAATCTGCATAGGGGTGGCGTGGGCAGGCGCGGACAAGCAGGCGATGCGGCGGGAAGTGCAGGAGGTGAAGGCAGGGCCGCGGTAGCGGAGATCGCGGGCGGCCGGCGGTGTGGTCGCGGCGGCGGAAATTGCGGCCGGGTGGTGGGGCAGTAGGAGCTGCGGGATGCGGGGGCGATGACGAGTAGGGCGCGGCGGTGGGATGCGCGGGCGGCGACGAGCAAATCGCGGCGGTGGGATGCGCGGGCGGCGACGAGGAGTTCGCGGCGGCGGGATGCGCGGGCGGCGACGAGCAGGTCGCGGCGGCGGGATGCGCGAGCGGCGACAAGGAGGTCGCAGCGGCGGGATGCGCGGGCGGTGACAAGCAGGTCGCGGCGGCGGGATGTGCGGGCAGCGACGAGGAGGTCGCGGCGGCACGATGTGCGGGCGGCGACGAGCAGGTCGCGGCGGTGGGATGCGCGGGCGGCGACGGTAGGTTGCGGCGGCGGGATGTGCAGGGGGCGACGAGCGGGTCGCGGCGGCGGGATGCGCAGGCGGCGACGGCAGGTCGCGGCAACGGGGCGTGCATGCGGCGGTGGGACGGGAGGCGGCGACGAAGCGTCGCGGCGGCGGGATGCGCAGGCGGCGCCGAGGAAGGCGCGGCGGCGGTAAGGGGAGGCGGCGACGTGACGTCGCGGCAGCGGGAGGGGCAGGCGGCGACGGGGCGTCGCGGCGGAGGGATGCGCAAGGGCGCCGAAGTAGGCGCGGCGGCGGGAGGGGGGAGGTGGCGACAGGGGGGGTCGCGGCAGGAGGACGGGGAGGCGGCGATGAAGCGTCGCGGCGGATGCGCAGGCGGCGCCGGAGCAGGCGCAGCGGTGGAAGGGGGGGGGGGGCGGCGACGGTGTGTCGCGGCGACGGGAGGGGGGGGGGGGGGGGGGGAGGCGGAAATGCGCTCGCGGCGGTGGGATCTGCAGGCGAGGAGGGCGTAATCGCGGCGGAGGGAGGGAAGGGCGGCGACGGCGTAGGTCGCGACGAGGATATGCTAGGTTGAGCCACACGTAGGAGGGGGTTCGTGGCTGTGGGGTGGGCCCATGGGAAAGAAAAAACTTGAGGGAGGGAGAGTTAAGGCTTAGGAACAACTAGCTCTATACCATGTGAAGATTATAGATTGAACAAGTGATTGTATTAGAGGAGAAACCTAGCATACATAGTTGGAAGGAAAGGTTGGAAGGGAAGGATGAAGGTGACCATAGGTTGGGTTGACCTTACTTGGGGGGGTGAGGCAACCATATGTCAAGTGGGTTGGGTTGCCCACACTTTGTAGAAAAGAGGCAACCCTAGGCCCACTTGGCTTGAGGTGACCTCAATTGTGGGAAGTGAGGTACCCACAAGTCAAGAGGGTTGCATTTGGGGGCTCCACCACAATTGGGTGGATTGGCACCCCAAAGTGCAAGACTACACCCAATGTTGGGTGTAGTCCCAACCCAACTGTAAACCACAATTGGTGTACAGTCACATGTGTTGGCATGCTACACAATATATATTTTAACAACACGACGACCCCTGCACGCTCCCCTGCATACCCACCGCCACCACCCCCTGCCCTGATCCTCCGATTGAGGACCCCAGCCACACGACGTGCGGGGGGAACCCGATTGCGCTGCTTTGTCTGTACGCGCTGACGTTCTTCTTTGCGAATTTCGGGCCGAATGCACGACTTTTATCCTGCCCGCGGAGCTTTTTCCTGCCCCGTTTCGCTCCACGCGCCACGGAATCAGCTCTGCTGCTGGGAAGCTGGGTGCGATCGTTTGGGTTTGTGTACGCGTCGCAAGAGGCCCCTTTACAAGAGACTGCTTCGGCAGGGACTGTTTTGAATCTGGGGTATCCGCCGGGGATTGGTGTGCAGAATACTATGTTCATTCTCATGGCATGTGCTGGTGTGGGGTTTTTGTGTACGTTCCTGTTGCCGCAAATGAAAGGGAGGTCTTTGGAAGATATTTCAGGGGAGATGGTGGAGAGTGATGATGAGGACAACGAGGAGGAGGATGGGGAGGAGGATGTGGGGGATGGGGAGGAAGGGGAGGAGAGGAATGAGTTTCATTATCCGGAGCAGGAGACTGGGTTGGATGGGGTGATGATGGGTCACAGTCACGGATGGGATGAGGAGGAAGAGGAGGATGAGGACGAGGAGGATAGGAAGGGTGGGGAGGAGGAGCTAACATTGGAACAAATGGGGCTAGGTAGTCTTGTGATGGAGGAGCAGGGGGAGGGAGAGGAGGAGCGTTTGCAAGCAGGAGGAGGGTGCATGGTTGGGCTGGACTTACCATGTGGAAGTGTGCATTCGTATGGAGGTGTGGGTGTTCGAAGGGATTGAGATGGGCGATTTAGTGATAATAGATGGTGTGGGAGCAATGGCAATTTACTTGTCATCCTGATAGTTTTGTATAGATATTTATTGAGTGAAGTTTAGGGAGGGTTATTTACTTGCCCGAGTCCTCTTCCTTTTAAAACTGTACACACATATAGTGTAGGCTGTTAAGATAGCAAGCAGGAATGATTACATTGAATGAAATGTGGGTACAAGTACCGTCATCGCCCAGATAGAACACATATATGTCTTATCTTATACATTAGAAAAAAAAACTTGCTGTGTCTTGTAATTGGGACGGTTTAGGGTGTCTTATAATTCTTCTAAATGGACAAAAAACCGTTTAGAAGATACCCCCTCGTCATAAGATTGCCTCTAACTCCTATACTGGCTTAACTCGTACACACCGACAGGTGTCTTATAATAAGGAACACCCATAGATAAGATACACCCGTTTCTTCAATTCGACATTGTCTTATATCCTGGTACTACCCCTAACTTCGGGTTGTACCCCATATGGGCTACCCCACTATAGCCTACACAGAACTAACACATATATAGTTTGACACACCCCCATAGGCCAAGTGGGGGAGAACAAGGGGTGACAAGACCATTCAAGAAAAGCAAAGCAAGCTTGGGGTGGATCTCAACGTCACCACACACTCGAGCACAAGCAAAGGGGCCACAAGGCCAGTTCACATGCAGAGGTATATATGCAACAACAACAGTACAGTGATCACTACCTAGCAAGAGCAAGCATGCAGGTATGTATATAGATCACAGTACAAGCAAAGTCACGAAGTGAGCAAGTGAGACGAATCAGGCACAAGGCCTAACGTAGTACAGAAGCGCTGATGAACACCCGACGGAAGTGCCTTGGTGAATATATCAGCAGTGTTGGCCCGAGTGGCCAGGTGAGCAAGACGAAGCTGACCACGCTGCTGCAACTCTCGAGCCATGAAGTAACGCAGAGCGATGTACTTCGTTTTGTGCTCCAGTCTGTGCTCCTGACACAAGACAATGGCGGCCTTGTTGTCTACGTACAGAACTGGAGGAGAACGAGGCCGCTCTCCCAAGTCGGTTAGCAGGTAGGTGAGCCAGCGTAACTCCTGTGTAGCCATGGCTCTTGCGTAGATCTCAGCCTCACAACTGGAGCTGAGAACAGAAGACGAGCGGGTAGACCGCCAAGAAACAGAGCCGCAGCCAAGGCTGAGAGTGTAACCCTGTGACGACCGCTGCGTAGCCAGGTCGTCAACCCAAGAAGCGTATGAGTGTCCAGTGAGGACAACTGAGCTCCGCCCTCCAAGCACGAGCCCCATGCCCGATGTACTGCACAAGTAGCGCAGAACCCTCTTCGTGCCAGAAGGCCAAGAGGGTACGCAAGTTCAGGACGAGTGCAGGTCATCAGGTACATGAGGCAGCCCACTAACTCTGGGTACGGGCCACTCGGTCTACGGACTCGTCCGAAGGTGGAGCTGAGAGCGAGTGACCTGTGGCCAGAGATGTGGACTGTGGCGAGGACAAAGTGAAGCCGAAGCGCTGAAGGACCTGCTGCACCATGTGTGACTGGCTCAGGGTGATGGTGCGGCGTGCTCTGTCCCGGGTGATCTTCAAGCCAAGGTAACTGCGCAGCTCACCCAGGTCTGTGCACGCGTGTCTCTTCTGCAGCTCCGACTTCACAAGGGCAAGAGCCTCAGTGTCATCAGTGGCAAAGACCAGGTCGTCGATGTACACGAGGATGTAGAGCGGCGGCAGCGAAGTGTCGGTGGGCAGAAACATCGACGGGTCAGAAGTTGAAGGAGCAAACCCAAGAGCCGCAAGTGTCGTCCTTTGTGTATCGTGCCACTCATGAGGCGCCTGACGGAGACTGTAGATTGGCCGACGGAGGCTCCACTGGGTACCAAAAGGGAATGACCCAGTGAAGCCAGGTGGGCGGCGCAGCCAGATCTCCTCGTGCAGGCTGCCCTATAAGAACGCTGTGCTGAAGTCCAGAGAGTGAAGCTCGTAGTCATGCTGAGCGGCAACGTGCAGCAGCACCCGAAGAGAGGTCATCTTTGGGGTGGGGGAGAAGGTCTGGAAGAAGTCAACTCCCTGTCACTAACTGAAGCCTCGTGCAGCATAACGAGCCTTGAAGACAGGCGGAGAACCCGACGGCCGCTTCATCCTAAAAATCCACATGCCATCGACGATGTTCGCCCCAGGAGGGGGAACCTCATCGACGTAAGTGCTTGTGGACTTCCAGGATGCCATCTCTGTGTCCATGGCTGTCTGCCACTAAGAGGAGTACGGACCCGCGATCGCCTCAGCGTAAGAACGCGGAGTCGGGATGTCTGGTGCATCCGGGTCTCCCTTTGGGGCAAGCAGCATGGCCACGAGATGAGGCGCAGTGGCTGCAAGATGCTCAAAGTCCTCGTGCCTGTCCTCAAGGACGTCCGTGCCAAGAGCACACTCACCCCCGACGGACGGAGGACAGAAAGGCTCAGACTCAGCAACAAGACTAGCAGCGTAGTCTAGACGACAGGCAGCAGCAAAGTCAACAAGCTCAGAGACTAAGGCAGACGCAGCAGCAGACTCAAACGACGGGTCACTGACAACAGTGGCAAGCAGACGCGTGACAGTAGGGTGAGCAGCACAAACCAGGTCAGACTAAGGGTCCTGAACGTCAGGCAGAGAAGACGCAGGAGGAGATGGTAGGGGAACACGCTGTGGAACAGAGGAAGGACGAAGTGCCATAGCGTGCGTGCTAGGGACAGGAGGCGGACGCTCACGAGGAACACGACGACCAGTGCGAGAAGCGCGAACAGGCGAGGCAGGACGAGACGCAGGCTCACGACGCCCTGTAAGCGAACCTGTCTCCTCAGAGTAAGGAGAAGGAGCAGGCAGTGGTGCGCCGGGCTGTAACGGGAGGCCAGTAGAAGACGAGAGGCTAAGAACCTGGCGAAGCACGGAGTCTTGCGGTGGCAGAGACGTCGGTGACGGCGGAGCGAAAAACAGTTGCGACGGTGCAGTGCCACCAGTACCAGTAGCTCCAGCGCCTCCAACAGCTCCAGAACCTCCAGCTCCAACGCCTCCAGCAGCAGCACCTCCTGATCCAGTGACTCCAGCAGCAGCACCTCTAGCTCCAGCGCCTCCAGCAGCTCCAGAACCTCCAGCTCCAGCCACTCCAGCAGCAGCACCTCCAGCTGTAGCGCCTCCAGCAGGTCCAGAACCTCCAGCTCCAGCGCCTCCAGCAACAGCACTGTCAAACATTATATGTTTATATTGTGTAGGCTATAGTGGGTTTAGCCTTAGGGGGTACAGCTTTGTTAGGGTTTCCTACTTGTATCCCCCTCCTACCTAGTTTCATCCATTCTCGTTCTATTCTAGATTCTAACATGGTATCACGAGCCTAGGTTGCTACCTAGGACCGCTTTCTACTATGGGCCCACTATTCCGCTAGAAGCGCCCTCGTGCGCCCTACCTTACGTGCGCCCTCGTGCGCCTTTCTCTGCTAGTGCGCCTTCGTGCGCCCTCATGCGCCCTTGTGCGCCCTCGTGCGCCCTCGTGCGCCCTCGTGCGCCCTCGTGCGTCTTTCTCTGCTCGTGCGCCCTCGCGCGCCCCGCCCTTCGGTCTGCCCGAGTGCCGTCGTGTAGCCCTAGCACTGCCTCCTACAAGCTAGTACGGCCCTCGAGCCGCCCCTGCAGGTCCGTCAGGCCCCCGAGCCGCCTCTGCAGACCCGTCAGGCCCCCCCCGAGCCGCCTCTGCAGGCCTGTCAGGCCCGAGAGCCGCCCCTGCAGACTCGTCAGGCCCGCGCGCAACCTCTGCCCGACCGCGCGCCGCCCCTGCAGGCTCTCGCCGCCCGCCGCGTCGCCCTGCCCGCGGCGTCGCCGCCTGCCCGCGGCGTCGTCACCTGCCCGCGACGTAGCCCCTGCCCGCAGCGTCGTCGCCTGCCCGCGGCGTCGTCGCCTGCCCGCGGCGTCGTCGCCTGCCCGCGGCGTCGTCGCCTGCCCGCGGCGTCGTCGCCTGCCCGCGGCGTCAACGCCTGCCCGAGGCGTCGTCACCTGCTCGCCGCGTCGCACTGCTCGCGGCGTCGCCCTGCTCGCGGCGTCGTCACCTGCTCGCCGCGTCGCCCTGCCCGCGGCGTCGCCACCTGCCCGCCGCGTCGCCCTGCTCGCGGCGTCGTCACCTGCCCGCGGCGTCGCCCCTGCTCGCCGCGTCGCCCTGACCTAATCCGCGCCTGGCCTCTGGAGCAGTCGCCCCTGCAGCAGCCGCCCCTGGCTCCTGGAGCAGCAGCCCCTGCAGCAGCCGCCCCTGGCCACTGGAGCAGCCGCCACTGCAGGAGCCGCCCCTCGCCCCTAGAGCAGCCGCCCCTCGCCCCTGGAGCAGCCGCCCCTGCAGCAGCCGCCCCTGGCACCTGGAGCAGCTGCCGTCGCGGCCCGGCCCCGCCCTGCAGCAACTGCCGCGGAGCTCCCTGCTGCGGCCCGGCCCCGCCCTGCAGTTGTAGCGGCCCCGCTGTCGCCATCGTCTTGCGCCTGCCGCGCCGACCACTGGTGAGCATTGCTGTTACTGCCGCTACTGCTGCTACTGCTGCTCCTGGCGTGGCCAGATGCAGCTCCAGGGCCGTGCGCGTGAGTCCCTCACGCCCCAGCAGCTTCGTGAGTGGTACGCTAGTTGGGGCTGTCGGGGTGGCCGTAGTGGTAGTTGCTCTGGAGTGGGTCGGTCGGGAGCTTCTGGTAGTGGACAGGTGCAGCTGCCGTGTCCTCTTTCGCCCCAGCAGCTTCGTGCGTGGTACACTAGTTGGGGCTGTCGGGGTGGCCGTAGTGGTAGTCGCTCTGGAGTGGGTCGGTCGGGAGCTTCTGGTAGTGGACAGGTGCAGCTGCCGTGTCCTCTTTCGCCCCAGCAGCTTCGTGAGTGGTACGCCAGTTGGGGCTGTCGGGGTGGCCGTAGTGGTAGTCGCTCTGGAGTGCATCGTTCGGGAGCTTCTGGTAGTGGACTGATGCAGCTACCGTGTCCTGTGAGTGAGGCTG